GTTCATATATTGGACCCGGGGGCCGGACCAAGAGTAGATGAATGATGTGTATGTGTCATCCATAGTAAGTATAGTAATATTCCCCCATAGTAAGCATAGTAATTAATCCCCCATAGTAATTCATCCCCCATATAGTAATTCATCCCCCATATAGTAATTCGTCCCCCATATAGTAATTCGTCCCCATATAGTAATTCGTCCCCCATAGAGCAATTCATCCCCATATAGCAATTCATCCCCCATATAGTAATTCATCCCCCATATAGTAATTCATCCCCCATAGTAATTCATCCCCCATATAGTAATTCATCCCCCATAGTAATTCATCCCCCACATAGTAATTCACCCCCCCATATTAATTCATCCCCCATATTAATTCATCCCCCATATTAATTCATCCCCCATATAGTAATTCATTCCCCATATAGTAAGTCCCCCATATAGTAATTCATTCCCCATATAGTAAGTCCCCCATATAGTAATTCATTCCCCATATAGTAAGTCCCCCATATAGTAAGTCCCCCATATAGTAATTCATTCCCCATATAGTAAGTCCCCCCTATAGTAATTCATTCCCCATATAGTAAGTCCTCCATATAGTAATTCATTCCCATACAGTAAGTCCTCCATATAGTAATTCATCCCCCATATAGTAAGTCCCCCATATAGTAATTCATTCCCCATATAGTAAGTCCCCCATATAGTAATTCATTCCCCATATAGTAAGTCCTCCATATAGTAATTCATTCCCCATATAGTAAGTCCCCCCTGTGTCACTTACCTTTGCTCCGCGCGTTCCTCTCGTATTCCCGTGCCGTTCTGGTCTTCAGGGAGGACTGTGAGAGAAGAGTTCGTCACGCTGCCCCGCCTACATCCTGGCTGCCCCGCCTACATCCTGACAGCTGCAGAGTCCTGACGCCCGAGAGGAGGGAGGGGGCGGCCATCCGAGAGGGGGGGGCGGCCATCCGAGAGGAGGGGAGCGGGCGCCCGGCACACAGGAGACCCGCATCTAAGTTTGTAAAGAGCCGCGGCTTGCCGACCACTGGCCTTGCGGGAGCCTAGCTCCGCGGGCCGGATTAAAAGGTCCGCCGGGCCGTAGTTTGCCCATTGCTGGCCATACTCCATACCAGCGTCCTGATCACCCCATACCAGTATCCTGATCACCCCATACCAGTATCCTGATCACCCCGTACCAGTATCCTGATCACCCCATACCAGTATCCTGATCACCCCGTACCAGTATCCTGATCACCCCGTACCAGTATCCTGATCATCCCATACCAGCGTACTGATCACTGCCATACTGCATACCAGCATCCTGATCACCCCCGTACCCCATACCAGCATTCCGATCACCACCATACCCCATACCAGCGTCCTGATCACCGCCATCCCCCATACCTGCATCCTGATCACCGCCATACACCATACCAGCAATCTGATCACTGCCATACTGCATACCAGCATCCTGATCACCCCCATACCCCATACCAGCGTCCTAATCACCACCATACCCCATACCAGCATCCTGATCACCGCCATACCCCATACCAGCGTCCTGATCACCACCATACCCCATATCAGCATCCTGATCACCGCCATACCCCATACCAGCGTCCTGATCACCGCCATCCCCCATACCAGCATCCTGATCACCGCCATCCCCCATACCAGCATCCTGATCACCCCCATACCCCATACCAGCATCCTAATCACCACCATACCCCATACCAGCATCCTGATCACTCCATATGCCGTACCAGTGTCCTGATCACCGCCATACCCCATACCAGCATCCTGATGACCGCCATCCCCCATACCAGCATCCTGATCACCCCCATAACCCCATACCAGCATCCTGATGACCGCCATCCCCCATACCAGCATCCTGATCACCCCCATACCCCATACCAGCATCCTAATCACCGCCATACCCCATACCAACATCCTGATCACTCCATATGCCGTACCAGTGTCCTGATCACCGCCATACCCCATACCAGCATCCTGATGACCGCCATCCCCCATACCAGCATCCTGATCACCCCCATACCCCATACCAGCATCCTAATCACCCCCATACCCCATACCAGCATCCTAATCAACCGCCATACCCCATACCAACATCCTGATCACTCCATATGCCGTACCAGTGTCCTAATCACTGCCATACCCCATACCAGCATCCTGATCACCGCCATACCCCATACCAGGGTCCTGATCACCGCCATCCCCCATACCAGCATCCTGATCACCGCCATCCCCCATACCAGCATCCTAAATCACCACCATACCCCATACCAGCATCCTGATCACACCGCCATCCCCCATACCAGCATCCTGATCACCCCCATACCCCATACCAGCATCCTAATCACCGCCATACCAGCATCCTGATCACTCCATATGCCGTACCAGTGTCCTAATCACCGCCATACCCCATACCAGGGTCCTGATCACCGCCATCCCCCATACCAGCATCCTGATCACCGCCATCCCCCATACCAGCATCCTAATCACCACCATACCCCATACCAGCATCCTGATCACTCCATACCTCATACCAGCATCCTGATCACCGCCATACCCCATACCAGGGTCCTGATCACCGCCATCCCCCATACCAGCATCCTGATCACCGCCATCCCCCATACCAGCATCCTAATCACCACCATACCCCATACCAGCATCCTGATCACCGCCATCCCCCATACCAGCATCCTGATCACCCCCATACCCCATACCAGCATCCTAATCACCGCCATACCAGCATCCTGATCACTCCATATGCCGTACCAGTGTCCTAATCACCGCCATACCCCATACCAGGGTCCTGATCACCGCCATCCCCCATACCAGCATCCTGATCACCGCCATCCCCCATACCAGCATCCTAAATCACCGCCATACCCCATACCAGCAATCTGATCACTCCATACCTCATACCAGCATCCTGATCACCCCATACCAGCGTCCTGATCACTCCATACCCCATACCAGGGTCCTGATCACTCCATACCCCATACCAGCATCCTGATCACCCCCCCATACCAGCGTCCTGATCACTCCATACCCCATACCAGGGTCCTGATCACTCCATACCCCATACCAGGGTCCTGATCACTCCATACCCCATACCCCATTTTCCAATATACTGTATATCCCAATATACCTTTCACACAGACTAAAAAATATACACCATTCGGGGTTATTTTGAGTCGCAGAATAAATTTTGGCCTACATTATGGATAAAGATAAATATTTATTTGCAAAATGTTAAAACAAAAACTAAGAAAAAAAAAAAATGTATTTTCAAAATATTTGGTATTTTTTCACTTATATAGCAAAAAAAAAAACCCCAGTGGTGATTATTATTATACAGGATTTATATGGTGCAGACCGTTTGCGCAGCGCTGCAATATAAAGGGAGACAATACAGCAACAATACAAGAGGGTTAGGGGGGCCCTGATCCTTGGAGCTTACATGATTAAATAACCCCAAAAGAAACCTCTATCTGTCTCAAAAATAAAAATGCTACAAATGTCATCCGGGTACAGGATTGCCTGGCTGAGTAATTGTCATTCGAAGTGTAAGAGCGCTGCAAGCTGTCCGTTATCACATATTACTATAACATTTGTAATACACGCGTTCCTCTTGTAGTTCTGGAATATTACGAAAGTTCTTCTGCAGTTTTGATACCTTTGTCCATTGCCATGATAGCGCTGACCAAGTCCAAAGCTTAATCTGCTGTATACAGCCGGACTACAACTGCCGTGTTCTCCGACGGCGCGCCGCCCTTCCAGATCAGGGGTAGACTGACAACTCAAGGGGCCCCTGGGCAATAGGGGATCATGGGGCCCCTCTGTCCTTGCCCACACTCAAAGCACACCCAAAACAGCCTATAAAAGGTACCAGGGGCATTTCATGGGGCCCCCTACTGACCCCGGGCCCTCGGGCACTGCCCGAGTGCTCGAATTGTCAGTCCGTCCCTGTAACAGATTGAAATCAGTGTGGGGCCTCGGTGCTGAGCGTGTTATGCTGCAAGTTAACCTCCCTGGCGGTCTGATTCTGTCCACATTTCTGTGCTCAAAGCGGTACATTGTTTTCAATGGAAATATGTTTTTTTTTTTATTGTAGGCTGTAATTTTTAGGAATAACTCCCTGAAATCTGTCCGGACAAGAGTCTAGTAAACATCCCGGGGAGGATAAAACTTGAAACACAAACCATAAAATTATAATATAATAAATAATAATAAATGAAATTCAATAATATAATCAAACCAAAAACACTGAAATGTGAAATAGAGCGCCAAGTTCGCCCATCGCTGAGCTCAATCGCAGAATCGTTTTCAGTGTCTGATGAGGAATTTCCCCCACCAATCATTATCACTCAATTCTGCAAGTGGTTCTGATTTACTATCGCTGTTCTCTAGCCGGTCTAAAACCGCGTCTGACCTAAAGGGACGCTTTTTGGACGCCATGGACGTTTTCTCAGTTTCCAGGCAGAAAGAACAGTAAAAATGCAGGCAGGGCGCCGGACAAAGCACTCGGGACAAAATGTATGTGAAATGGTTTGATACAGGAATGTTATACGATGTGATTTTAGTGGATTTAGTGAATGTCAAATTTTTACATTTTTTTAATTTCCCGCCAGTTCCGTCCCCCGTACGTCCCGACGTCGCAGGGAACGGAACCCGGAAGACAGATGCCGGAGGACATTACAGGGGACACTGCAGGGGGGACATCGCGGGAGCGCAGGACAAGGTAAGTGCAGAAGGGATCCCGGAGCAACGCTGCAGTGTATTCCCGAGTGTAGCTCGGGGGGGTTACCGCTTGTGGTGCTGAAACTTTACCCCGAGCTACACTCAGGAATACCTCCGGGGGGGTTAATGCTTGCTCCTGGTGCAGTCTTTGTTTACACCAGCGGGTCGGTCTAAAGCTGAACTGCATACTGCAGGTAAAAAAAGACCCCAATTCAGCTCTGAAATCAAGAATACATCATTAAAGTGTTTGTGGACCCCTTCACGCCTGAGGGTAAAACAAATCTTAATGCCCAAGCACAATTTTGCAAAGTTGACCTGTGTTAGTAAAACCGTCCGTATCATCACAACTACTTTGTACATCCGGGTGAATTATGCCGCTTTTTTTTCAGGACAAATTGGGCTTTCATTTGGTGGTAAATGGTAATGGATATCTCCCGATTTTTTTTTTATCAAAGGAAAATGGGCCCAAAATAGTAAAAATAAATATTTTTTTTTATTTAGCTGTGTGTTTCTTGTTATTACCATAACCTACCACCAAAGGACAACCCAAAATAAATTTATCCAGCTCTTGACGATCGCAGCGATACCATATATGTGGATGTTATTCGTTGTTTGCACCCGGAGTACAGCCCAGAAACAATAGTGCACAATTGTTTTTCTCTGACACTGACAGTGACACTAACTGACACTGATACCAATTTTTTTTTTTAAATCCTGACCTCTGACCCTGACCTTGACCCAAACACTAACCCTGGGACTGAACTCAATCAAACCTTGATATAGGCATTTTTCTTTATTATTTTTTTTTTTTTATTTTTTTTTTAATATTTACTTATCTTTTTTTTTTTTTTTTTTAAACATTTTTTTTTCTCTCTATGCCAGGAGTTAGAGAGATATAATGATACAATGTATAATAGGATGAATATAACGATACAATGTATAATAGGATGTATATAATGATACAATGTATAATAGGATGAATATAATGATACAATGTATAATAGGATGAATATAACGATACAATGTATAATAGGATGTATATAATGATACAATGTATAATAGGATGAATATAATGATACAATGTATAATAGGATGTATATAACGATACAATGTATAATAGGATGTATATAATGATACAATGTATAATGGAATGTATATAATGATACAATGTATAATAGGATGAATATAACGATACAATGTATAATAGGATGAATATAATGATACAATGTAGAACAGAATGTATATAATGATACAATGTTTAATGGAATGTATATAATGATACAATGTATAATATGATGTATATAATGATACAATGCATAATAGAATGTATATAATGATACAATGTATAATAGGATGTATATAATGATACAATGTATAATAGAATGTATATAATGATACAATGTATAATGGAATGTATATAATGATACAATGTATAATAGGATGTATATAATGATACAATGTAGAACAGGAATGTATATAATGATACAATGTATAATGGGATGTATATAATGATACAATGTACAATAGGATGTATATAATGATACAATGTATAATAGGATGTATATAATGATACAATGTATAATAGAATGTATATAATGATACAATGTATAATGGGATGTATATAATGATACAATGTATAATAGGATGTATATAATGATACAATGTATAATGGGATGTATATAATGATACAATGTATAATAGGATGTATATAATGATACAATGTATAATAGGATGTATATAATGATACAATGTATAATAGAATGTATATAATGATATAATGTATCTCTCACCTTTATTCATAGAGACAAAAAAACAAGGGGGCTGGGCTGTACAGTGACTGATCGCTGTGATAGCCAATCAGAGGCTATCACAGCGATCATGTGACCCTAAAACGGGAGTCCCGGGCCCTGATCATTAGAACGGGACTCGTGCCTCTCAGTGACATGGTGGTCTCTGTGCTGGGAGCTCGCGGAGTGGCGCGCTCCCAGCACATAGACAGGTACGCAAATATGCGGCCGAACGAAAAAAAGCCAGTTCTGTGAGCTGCATATTTGTGTTACTTCGGCATAAAGGGGTTAAGTTAACAACACCCCAAAAGCGGTCCGCAAAACGCGGTGCGCTGTGCAGAATCGGATCGCATAGGTGTGAATACCCGTGCGATGCGATTCTAGTGCGGACCCACAAAAGGGTCCTGCACCTTTTTGGTGCCGGTGTGGTGTGATTAGAGCCATATATATTGTACGACTCCGATCGCACCGCACACAAATCGCATGTGATTGGCAGAGGAATGCGGGGCAGTTCCTGTGAGATGCACACGTGACAATACTCGGAGCAATATAGTGTATATAGGGGGGGGGGGACAATACTTGGGGCAATATAGTGTATACGGGGGGGGGGACGGGACAATACTTGGGGCAATATAGTGTATACGGGGGGCGGGGGACAATACTCGGAGCAATATAGTGTGTATACGGGGCAATATAGTGTATATATGGGGGGGTGGGGACAATACTCGGGGCAATATAGTGTGTATACGGGGGGGGGGGGGGGGGGAACACAATACTCGGGGCAATATAGTGTGTATACGGGGGGGACAATACTCGGGGCAATATAGTGTGTATACGGGGGGGCAAAACTCGTGGGGGTGTATACGGGGGGGGACAATACTCGGGGCAATATAGTGTGTATACGGGGGGGGACAATACTCGGGGCAATATAGTGTGTATACGGGGGGGGGGGGACACAATACTCGGGGCAATATAGTGTGTATACGGGGGGGGGACAATACTCGGGGGCAATATAGTGTGTATACGGGGGGGGGGGGACAATACTCGGGGCAATATAGTGTGTATACGGGGGGGGGGGGCGGGGGGACACAATACTCGGGGCAATATAGTGTGTATACGGGGGGGGGGGGACAATACTCGGGGCAATATAGTGTGTATACGGGGGGGGGGGACAATACTCGGGGCAATATAGTGTGTATACGGGGGGGGGGGGGGGGACGGGGTGGGGGGACAATACTCGGGGCAATATAGTGTGTATACGGGGGGGGACAATACTCGGGCAATATAGTGTATATACGGGGGGGGGGACAATACTCGGGGCAATATAGTGTATATATGGGGGGGGCGGGGACAATACTCGGGGCAATATAGTGTAGTATATAGGGGGGGGGGGGACAATACTTGGGGCAATATAGTGTGTATACCGGGGGGGGGGGGGGGACAATACTTGGGGCAATATAGTATATAACGGGGGGGGGGGGACAATACTCGGGGCAATATAGTGTGTATACGGGGGGGGGGACAATACTCGGGGCAATATAGTGTGTATACGGGGGGGGGGACAATACTTGGGGCAATATAGTGTGTATAGGGGGGGGGGACAATACTTGGGGCAATATAGTGTGTATACGGGGGGGGGGGGGACAATACTCGGGGCAATATAGTGTGTATATGGGGGGGGGGGACAATACTTGGGGCAATATAGTGTGTATACGGGGGGGGGACAATACTCGGGGCAATATAGTGTGTATATGGGGGGGGACAAAACTCGGGGCAATATAGTGTGTATATGGGGGGGGGACAATACTCGGGGCAATATAGTGTATGTGTTTTTCAATGTGACAATGCCCTGGGAAGTCCAGATTGAGTCGGTATAGCAGCTCCCAGCAGCAGGCAGGTCAGGATGACGTCATTTGTACAGAAGACATGAGGGTACAGGGCAACTTGGGGAACAATATATAATAATATAGGAGACGGGGGGGGCACCAGGGGCGGACTGACCATTCGAGCACTCATCACTGCCCGAGGTCAGTAGGGGGCCCCGTGAAATGCCCCTGGTACCTTTCATAGGCTTTTTTTTGGGTGTGGGCAAGGACACAGAGGCCCCATGATCCCCAATTGCCCAGGGGCCCCATGAGTTGTCAGTCCACCCCTGGGGCCCCATGAGTTGTCAGTCCACCCCTGGGGGCCCCATGAGTTGTCAGTCCGCCCCTGGGGGCACTAATATTTTCCCCACTGAAAGCACTAGAGAAGTATATATAACTAGGATGATGAGATACGAGTGATGCGGGATAACGACTCCTTCGTATTGTACTCACCGGACACTCCATAGACGAACGTTCCACAGGCCTCCTCTCCTCCTCAGGAATTGCTTCCACCCGAGAGAGGAAAACCCGCCAAAGATTTTCTTTATAATTTAAAGCAATTTCCGTAAACATCGGGATGGTGCAAATAATGAAGACCAACGACAGCCGCCTTATACCTACTTCAAAATGAATGCGGTCTATTTAAGGAGGGGGGAGTGGCCATTAGGCATGGTCAGAGACTGCAGACATGATACAAGAGATGGTCAGAGACTGCAGACATGATACAAGAGATGGTCAGAGACTGCAGACATGATATGGTCAGAGAGACTGCGACATGATACGGTCAGAGACTGACAGACATGATACACGAGACTGCAGGATCAGAGACTGCAGACATGATGGTCACTGCAGACGGACACGGTCAGAGACTGCAGACATGATACAGGAGACGGTCAGAGACTGCAGACATGATACCGGAGACGGTCAGAGACTGCAGACATGATACCGGAGACGGTCAGAGACTGCAGACATGATACCGGAGACGGTCAGAGACTGCAGACATGATACAAGAGATGGCCAGAGACTGCAGACATGATACAGGAGATGGTCAGAGACTGAGGACATGATACAGGAGATGGTCAGAGACTGCGGACATGATACAGGAGATGGTCAGAGACTGCGGACATGATACAAGAGATGGACAGAGACTGCGGACATGATACATGAGATGGTCAGAGACTACGAGACATGCGGACATGATACGGGAATACAGGAGATGGTCAGAGACTTAAGGGAGACATGATACAGAGAGAGATGGTCAGAGACTGCGGACATGATACAGGAGATGGTCAGAGACTGCACGGACATGATACAGGAGATGGTCAGAGACTGCGGACATGATACAAGAGATGGTCAGACTGACTGCAGGAGACATACGGGATACAGACATGGAGATGGTCAGAGACTGCAGACATGATACAGGAGATGGTCAGAGACTGCAGACATGATACAAGAGGGAGATGGTCAGAGACTGCAGACATGATACAAGAGAGGGTCAGAGACTGCAGACATGATACAAGAGACGGTCAGAGACTGCAGACATGATACGGGAGATGGTCAGAGACTGCAGACATGATACAAGAGATGGTCAGAGACTGCAGACATGGTACAAGAGATGGTCAGAGACAGAGACTGGACATGATACTAGAGATGATCTCAGACTGGCGCATTCAGGTATGCACTGGAGACAGCCAATGGCAGAGCTTCAGGACTGGAGCAGCCAATGGCAGAGCGGACTTAGTCCAGTCATCTGGTTCAGGATATAGCAACATCCGGCAGAACATCCCCTCCCATCCTCTCTCTGGTTGGTGCGCTCCCCCAACTGCCCAGCTCCTTCCTGGACTCTTCCATGTATACTAATACCCCTCCCCCGGGTATTGCAGTTGGTTTCCCATTGATGGGCGTGGCTCAGATCCTCCTCCAGACTACATCTCCCAGAATGCCACAGCCTGCCATGTCACTCACAATTTAAACACAGCACACTCACTACTGCCACCTTGTGAAAGATCATGGGCTCTGCAGCCAATAAACATTACCTTCAGTTACACAATGTCCTCTGATTGGAGGAGGCGGAGATGGTGACGTCATCACCCCTCCTCTCCACCTCGTCCAATCAGAAAACGCTTTGCATTCATTGAGAAAATGCAAAAATGGCGCCTGTA